GAGAGAGAGAGAGAAGAGACAAGTTGGGTTAGGTTAGGTTATGTCTTGTCGTCGAGCAAGAAAAAATATATCGGTTAATTTCGAAATTCGCTCTTGTTGTTTATACAGCAGACCGTCCATTATCTGAACTAATAAAGAAACAAAATCGTTCGGTATAAGGTTAGGTTAAGTTATTTCGGATAATGGGATTGTTGATGTAAGGATTCGGATGTGAGGATAAAAGTTTGTATCATAAAATTAGATTTTTCACCTGAGAAATTTTTTAATAATGTATGCGCAATGATTCGTGATATAAATGGGAGCGAAAAAATTCTAAGATTCGAAATCAATAATGTAATTGATCGATTGAATGAGAAGTTTCGTTTTCGAGTAAATTAAAAAATTTGAAAATTTTACGAATGAAATTGGCCAATTTTTTATAAGATACGAATGTTTTTTTTTTCAGTTCTTTAAAAACTGGAAAATTCATGTTCACATATATTCACATATATTCGTATTAAAAAATTCATCAATTTCACTTGTATTGTAAGTTTGAAAAATTTTCAAACTTATTCGAGATGATGATCTAAAATCGAATATAAAGAAATGAAAAAATTATACAATTTCAAAATATAGAATCTCTCTAATCTCACTTGTACCATTTATCAATTTCTTCTGATTAATCTTTCATTTCACTCTTCTTCTTTTCAATTGATTGATTTTCCAACATCACATATTTTTGCCAATTCTATGAAAGAGATCCATCGCTTTCTAATTTTTTCGGCATTTTCGATCTTGTTTCAATAGTTTCAATATATTGTTTACAAGTGTACTATGTGAATGTATCCAACGTCAATTTCAAATTAAATTTTATTTACCGTTATATATTTGTATTTATTATATGAGTAAAGATAGCGTGCAATTTAAAGTATTCGAATAATGAAAGTTCTACCGTACAAATAACGGGTTGTGTTAAATTTAAAAAAAAAGTGTGTGGAAAGAATGTGAAAAATGGCGAATCGAATTTGGAATTTTCGTTTATTTTCTATCAGGTTCCCGTTGTCGTATATTTATTTATTATAATATAATGATATTATGTTATATTTTCATGATCGTTTGGTTAAGCATTTCGAATCTAATCGAATTTTATCGCGAAGAAAAAAAAGTTTTTCTTAACTTTAAAACTTTAGATATGTAAAGATATGTAAAGATGGTATGGGCAGTTATTTAAATGTTCCATAAAGGGATAATAATTGAAAAAATTATGTAAAAATAAAGCGTAGAATATTTGTTTTTCGAATGTTAAACTAAATTATTTTGAGAATTGGAAATCAATTGATGAATGAAAAAAATGTTTTATTTTAGTAAGAATTCGAAAAAATTGTATTCAAATTTATCGTATTCTTCATCAAACGAATTCCACGTTAAAATACTTTTCCACTCTTCCACACATACACAATTAATGCTCGTATAATTTAATTTCCAATAATCAGAGTCTCAAAAGAAATTAAAAAATGTGAAAGTTGCCATTTTTGTTAAACATTCGAAGAATATCAAAGTACAAATGAAATATATTTTATATTTCTTACAAATTTTTAATATGTTTTATTTCTCCAAAACTTTGAACCTTGGAAAAGGTAAAATGTTATGCTTAATTACTATACGATTCAATTAAGAAAAAAGCATTTTTAGCGTAATAAGAATCGTCGTGTATTTAATTAACACTACAAAAAACGAGATCGTATCTCAAAAAAAAGAAAAAAAATAAATAAATAAAACCAAACCATATATATATATATATATATATATATATACATACACATACATATACACGTATATCTTAATTACAAAAGCAATACTAATCATCAAGCTTGAGACAGAATCGTAACTCTGTATGACTGACAAGCACGATGAAATCGATAAAAACCCGCTTACTTCAGTGTCGTCTAACCGTTGTGACTCGTGAATCGATGTGTTATGACAGGTCAACTGTGCAGTTTGTTACGTTAATTCCTCCGTAGAACGATGAACATCTTGCCCCAAAACACGACGCAATTCCGTTTATCTATATCATTCATCGATGTAAACTCGAGGTTCCTGTATCGTGAATCGCTATTACCTTTTGTCCAAATCTCCCTTCTAACCTACACACGCATTGCCCGCGTCATAATGGAATTTCTGTAGAGGAATTAACGTCAACTGCAACAGCACGCCGAGGATATCGAAGTGTCACTTCGTAATCGAGTGTCTTGCACGTTTCAGAGGGAGAGAGGAGGGTGGAACGAGTGGTGGTCACCGCGAACCCCGATCAACGCCCGATTGGGGTACTGGTGCACTTAATGGAGAACATCTTTGGGTACCGACCTCAGCTTCCGGCGACTTCTGTTACGTCAACGACTGTTCGGTAAGTGCCACGGCCAAATAAACCAGTAGTTTCGAAGATTTGAGGGTGGGCAGGAAAGGTTTGGGGTTATGTTTGGAATTGTGGATCGAGAATGCGGTTAATATTCGTTTGGGAAATAATTTTTTTATCGAGAGAGATAAAAAATTCTCTCTCGGTTTCGTTCTTAACTTTGTGAAGATTGGCGAGGATTTGATCGTTTAAATTACGATGTGATGATTATGAATTGCTCGCAAGTCGTTGTTTGTACAATTATTCTTTGAGTAATGAATTACGTTAATGTTATTTTGTGCACACGATGGAACGTAACTTTGATGTGAAGTGGTGTTTCCGAGTGTAGTTATCTGAGTTGTAACACGTGAAAAGATCACAGAGGAGTATGAAATTTCATCTGGGTTCTAAGAATATTTAATTCGTATTTTAATGTAAGTTGTAATTTAAGAATGATAATTGGTCAGATTAAGGTAAAGGATTAAAGTAATTCCAAATTGAAATGTATAGGGAAAAATTTTTGTATAAAAACAAGTATGCTCTACGTACTTAATTCCTTAATTCTTTATTAGATATATTGGATATTTTTAATTTTTTAATTTTTTAACATTTACATCAAACGTTTGTCGTACAATGATTGTTAAAATATCTTTTAAAAAATCTAGTAAATCGAATCTTCTTGCCTAAATATGCGATACGTATAACGGTGAAAAAGTTTGTTTAATTAATTAAATAAGATATATTTTTATAACTCAATTTAAGGATCGATTAGTCGATAAATGAACAAATTGGATTTGAAGTCCTGACGATATTTAATCATATTATATATTTCTCTTCTGCACGTTCTGCACTTTCATTTTTAAATCGTGATACGAATCGTTTTTATTCGAATTAAAAATTATTAATATAACATGGCATGTAACAAATTATTAATACGGAAATAAAATCCATCAAACTATTGACGAAACGTTCAATTGCAAACGTTTCTGTTGCGAATTATTTCATTAAACGAAAATTATGTGCTGTCGACGAAAATAGGATAGATGGATCATGACCCACTATTGATAGATTCCCTCGTGGTATTCATAACGTGTAATAATAATAATAAATAATATCATCAAACCAAACTGATCAACTCCATGAAGATTAATTATAATAATATTTAATTTGATTAATTCTTTAAAAAATAAAGTTTGGTTTTCGAGTAGCAAATCCAGCAAATTCAATACCAATACGACACACTTAAGAATCAACAAAATAAATTCATATAAAGCAATTTAAAATATAGAATTATAAATATAATCTATATTTTAGGAACTTTTATCTTTATATGTTGAAATATTTAAATATTTGAATAAGAATTAATTTATAACACTGTAATAATAACGAACGAAAACAAAGAAGATAATAAAGAAAATGAGAGTAGGTTTTATCTAAAGTCTGATTATAGACTCGTTAATAAGGCTACCTAGAATGTTGATCGCCGAGGCAATCCTCGATATTATGCGCGAAAATTAGTTTTTAATGCTTGTAGGATCTTCTCTTAATCATTCTTAAGTCCCTGAATACCGTGTCTAATTCTGTTTTTAGAAAGTTCAGCAGAGAGCTTTACTTCCACTATTTTAACAAAATGAAGTTATTTTTGATGGAAGAAAAACGAATAGTTTCATCAGCCGATATTCAGCTCTTTATTTATCCAAGAAGGAAATATATATCAAGTTAGAAATTTTCTACAATTAGTGAATTTTATCTCATTAATAAACAATGATTCGAACATATATTATAATACTAATAGTAGTTCGTCATTTAGTGATCCCTAAGATTCTCTAGGGTCCCTAGGGTCTTTATCAAAAATATATTTTTTGGTATAACGTTCAATATTTTTGTAGAATCGTTTTTTAAAATATTATTATTACAAATTTATGTTTCACTAATAATGTAACAATGTAATATAATTCTGATATAATAAAAACGAAGAATAGAACATCCAATAATCTCTAGGATCACTTTGTCAAAATCAATGAAATGTGATCTCATATTGCTTTAGATTTTAAATTCGTTTTTTTTTTTTTTAAGTTATTGAAATAATCGGATATTAAAGAACGTATTTTTGTAAAAATATAAAAATTATTGTCGCCGTAGAAAAAATAAAGAACACACAGTTAGAGGTTATGTATCTTCTATACGCATTCCTTTGGCAATGAGTGGTGTAGGAAAGATTAATTAACGTTACATCACGATTATTCGTGACATGGATCTACATAGTTTTCATTTATGCGATATCTTCCATTTGCGAGTTATTACGATGATATTAAGAGAGAGAGAGAAAAAAGAGGAGACTTACGTAACGAGAACCAAGGTCACTTTGTCCACACACCTTCTATTCCGTTCTAAAACGGAATGAATCGTTCATATTTGAAGAGAAAATTAGCTACCAATGGATGATTAATATATGTAATATTCTAATGTGTGACGATTCGAGTGACGGAATCAACATGTTTTTTTCAACACGAATTAACAGTTATTTCGTTTCTTTAAAATAAATATTTATCGAATTAATGCAATTTAAGATTAAATTTCATTATAATTATGTGATAAAATAAATTTTCAAATTTCTTTTCTCAATCAAAGGATGTGTGTTAAATTATCTCTTCCTTCTTAAAAAATAATAGGCAATAGCTAATTAAGAGGAAGAATTTTTTAGTAGGAAGATTAAACTTATTATCATTGCCTATTATTATTTGTATAATATTAATATTTCAAGGAAGAACTTGTTAAGAATAAATTATATTGAAACGCAATACAATTAAGAAGCTTACATAATTTAGTAGCTGTCTTTGATTCTTCGTTATTAGTTTCCTTTTTCTTCAGTTATACGTGATTAAGATAAAATGCAATAAATTCCAATTAAAATATCGTAGTTGCGATTTTATGATAATAAAAGGAATCATAAATATTTGTGTATACAGAAGAGACATTTTTTAACTTTCGTGATAAATTGTTTCTTTTACATCACAAACATCGTTCACGAGACTCGCAAAAACTTTTAATGATGAATCTTTTTGAAAAAAATTTTAAAAATTTTTGTTAAAACTTTCATACCGTAATCAGAAACCGTTGTTACTTCATTCCACAACTTTTCGAGAAAGTTTTTTTTATCATTCTCGTTGTGTACACAATGTTCTTCACTTGGTTCTCAGTTGTGCGAGATAATAACGTACATAATTGGGGATAACAAAATTGTAAAAATAGTTAAATTAGTTTCCAGTTAAATGCGTAATTTCCCTGAGAAATATCTCCAATGCAGCAATTAAAACTGGACGTAAAAAAAGGAAAAGATTACACGCGTAAAAAAACTAAAATTTTTAAAAATAAAATATAACAAAATGAAAGTCAAGAAATGCTCACTTTTTATTAATGTCACTTACTATGATAATTTTAATTAAACAAAATTAAAATAAATAAATGATTAATTTTGCAAAACGTAATCAATATTATTCCAAAATGTGATAATAATGATTAAACATTGATCATCGTTGATTCTCAATAAAATTCAATGGAATATGGGAATTTTTTGCCAATAATTCTCATTGCTAAAATCCTGTGATTCGTTTCTTGTGATCAATAAAAGCAAGTTGAAAGTGAAAAAAATAATAATTCTGATATTCAATAATTATTCTTATCCATCAACGTTCATCTCACAATTATGCATCATTGATGCAAATAAATTCGATGAACCGTCACCTCGTAAAGATCGAATAGATAAAAATCAAATGAAGAATCGAATCGATAAAAAAAAATGGAATCGATAAGTCGATCATCGTTAAGAAACAATCATCGACAAATTTTCTTCGAACTTTTTCTATTATCAGTGCCCATTCAACCAGATCCCAAACGATGCTTTCCACGTTGCTTAATTTAATTTTAATGATTTCGAAGCAATCATAAATTCCATCCAGTGGAACGAATATCGATATAGAAATGGCGTTGAAACACATGCCCACTAAAAGTCCATTTAGTTTCACGATCTACGCTCCTTTCACGCGAAACACACTCGCGAAGGTGCACGAGATTTTAATGGGAATCGAAATCGAATGGTGTTCCCTCGAAACAGGAAATTAATATGTGAATAGACTTGCGTCGGGATATTCTGTCTGTTTATTTCTTTTTTTTTTTCTCGATTATTCGGTTTGTGGACGGGGGTAAAAAAAGGAACGAAGTGGGTATTTACGTTGATCCTTTGGCTGATTGTTTATTTCACTTAAATGTTATTCAAATGATTTGTTAATGGAAGACGTTAGAACGTCATTCTCAGTATTTAACCGTCTGTATTTCGTCAACAGTATGTAAAATATAATTGATGATAAGATAATACGTACGGTTTACCATTTGAATATCTGGTAACAACAGGAAGGAGTGGTATAATTTTATGTTAACAGTAAATGATAGAAATAATATTTTGATATTTTTTATGTATATGGTAAAAAAATGTGTAAATTTACGTTATCTAGTAGAATTTTATTTTACATAAAATTTTCAACACTTCGTTTAAAAAACGAAGTCAGCTTTTCGTGTGACTTTTATCCATGTCAAAAGATTTATACGTATATATCACTTGATATTATGCAAATTTGATGTAGAAATTTCGAATAATTTGCTTTCATAATTTTTTAAATTGTCTTATTATTAATAAATATTTTGAATGCATTTAGAATGTTTGAACATAGAACTTCTGAAATTCTAACGTATCATCTATAACCGATAAAAATTATGAAATGGTTGTTTATTGTTCAATTCGATAGAAAAATGAGACGATGAAATTGAGGTATATCGAAAAGTAAAAGTGAAATATTCAAATATATAACATATAATAGAACAGATATTAAAAGAGTTACGTCAAATTGTGTGCCCTTTCACATGGCAAATAATTTATGTGCTAATTATTTAAAGTGGTCACGTTGAGAAATCCATCTTATATTATACTCCATAACGTTAAATCATGTGGCAATAAC